AGGCAGTCACTTTCTACCCTTGCAATCTCCTGGAAGGGTTTCAAAGATCCAGAAGTACGATTTGAGAGAGAAGGGCTACCTCTAGGATGTTGTAGCGAGAGCTGTCGCAGTAATCCCGCACTCCGATTTCGGTCCCCATGTACCAGCCGCTGAAAGGGCAGGCGGTGAACTCCAGGCCTCCAATCTCAAGCAGCATGTTGGAAACAGCTGGTAAGGCATACCACTGGAGCCCGAGTTCTTTAAACCACTCGAATCTGTTAAAGGGAAAAACATAAAAAAAAGAAGGAACAACAAGGACAGGGGTCTTCCAACTTGGCCCTTTGATGACTTGTGGACTTCAACTCCCAGAATTCCTCAGCCAGGCTGAGGAATTCTGGGAGTTGAAGTCCACAAGTCATCAAAGGGCCAAGTTTGAAGACCCCTGAACTAGCACAACTGCCTCCAGAGAAGCTGCAAAAGCTTAATCTACTTGAAGAGCCTCTGGTCCAGTTCTGACGAAGAAGATGCTCCAATTTTGGAAGGACATTTATGACTCAATCAACGATCAGTCAATCATGTTTTGAGGCTCACAGCAAATTCCATGCCTGATCCATAAAGCACATCATCCCAGCACATGACTAAAAGGCAAAGCAAAATTAAAAATAATAATAATAAAAAAAGAAAACAGAAAGGAAGGGAACCACCATTACGTTGGGTAGAACTTATTCGGGGGAAATGAGAAGTGTCGTCTACACGTGGGTTAATGGAGCGCTATCCTGAAGGTCCCAGAATATCATTAAGTTGGGAAACTCACAACCACTTGGCGTCAACTGAACGGGAGCCAAGAACACATCTGGACTTACTTGGGGTGTCTCATGGGGACTTCCAACACCAGCTCAGGTGGGATCTCCAAAAGCTCAGGGTCATTCCCGTTGGCCTGGAGAAGGAGTGGCAGGACATCAAATCGGCCATGGGGGGCTTTCCACCCTTGCTGTATGCAAATCTGTACCCAAAGAAAAAATGTAGGGTTGTGGATATCCATGCAACAAAACACAGGTGCAAAACGTGATGTCTACCAACATCTGTTTGTTGATCCAGAGAGTTCCCTTAAAGTGAGGTTTTCTTTGCATCTGGGATTTTGGGGACAGTGGGACTTGAACTCATGATCTAGCCTGGTGTCTGAACCACTAGACCAAACTGGCCTTTTTCAAAACTACTGCCAGGACTCTATGATCAATTTACAGCAGACAGTCCAATGTTGTTCTCGTAAGGCTTGGCGGAATCTAAATCAGTAGGAAAGCAAACCAACCAAGCTATATATATATATTTAATGTTCAATAGTGAGCAGTGATGTTGTCACAGGGCACTTCTGTTTCAAATTTTGCACGGTTTCCCCTGAGTAAGCTTCAAATACTCATCATTTATAAAGTGTTCGGTTTCTAAAAGACGCTTTGGAATAAGCATGAAGGATCATGTTAATTGGTGTCAAAGCTGCTATTTAAAAAGCAGCTAACGCTGGCTGCAGAACCGAGTTTGTAAGATGCTGGAGACAATCAAAAACTAATTCCCTCAGCACCTGGATGAAGCAGTCTATCTAGACCCATACCAGTCGGGCTTCAGGCCGGGACACAGCACGGAAACGGCATTGGTCGCGTTGGTTAATGATCTCTGGAGGGCCCGGGACAGAGGCTATTCCTCTGTCCTTGTTCTTTTGGACCTCTCAGCGGCTTTTGATACTGTAGACCACGGTATCATGCTGCG